AGGATCGATAATCTCGGCAAAAGCCCGACATGGCGCTGAGGCAGGATCGATAATTTCGGCAAAAGGCCCAGTCGCAGCACGGTGCCGTGAGTGTTTAGGTGGACGGACGGACTGGCAGTCAGAGGCAAAGCCTATCGCATCGGGCCATTGGCAAATAGTTCATCTGCAAGTTGGGTTACGTGGAGAACCAAAGCGTAAACGCCTCGCCTCGACACAGGCATGCTGTCTATCTGGGAAAATGGAGTGTGTCTACGAGGTGTATCGATTGATCTATTGACTTAGGTCCGGTTGACGCATTGACGATTGACGATTGACGATTGACGATTGACTTGCTGGACGCATCGATGATGTGCAATAGGAGCGTCACGAATGAGTGAGCAGGGCACGGGCAGAGGACACAGCCAAATCAGCCTCTGAAGTGAAAATAGCCTCTCGAGGCTGGTGATATCGCAAGCCCTGCAAACGTGGGAAATGGAATAGAGGGCACGGCCAATTATGAGTCAAGGCGGGCGACACAGCACGGATGACTGCGTCGGATACACTAAAACCGAGACGTCTTGTTCACACATCGATAACACATCGAGGTCACATTCAGAAACGTGATGAAAAACTCAGTTCAGGGCTTGACAAGCCTTGACAATTCAAGGCGCAATGGTGGAAGTCGATAGTCGATACGAGAGCCCTCACATCTTGGACTATAGTAAGTTTAAGCAAAGAGGTTAGAGTCCCGCTGGGGATGGTGAGGCGATCAAGGCGAGCTGTAGACTGCAGTCCTGTCTGGATAGGAATAACTATTGGCAAGCAAGGTTATATGAAATTAAATGGAAATGTAAGGCTTGCTCGTATAATCGTGGGTAAATTAAACTGTCAGGATGAATACAACTCAAAGAGGATAAACATTGTGATCAAGACCAAAAAGAGCCCAGCTGACAGAGGGGTCATGAAGGTCCGAAGGTGTTTACGTACAAAAAGACTTAACACGGGTGACGCACATCTCGAGGGCAAGAGAAGAGGATGAAATGTCGGGCAGAGACGAAACGTAGTCATTGTTGAGCTTACTTCCATTTCGCGTGAAAGTGTTGGGTGAAGAAATTTGAAGGTCAGTTACACCAAAGACAACAACGGATTCTTATTGACCAGCTGTCGATTGACTTTACTGGAACATTCATGCTGAAGCTGTTTCCGAGGCAATCTCTTTCGATTCCGGTGAAAAGGTGCTAACCTTTCGTCCGTCGTATGAGAACATCATCAAAGCAAGGTATATCATTCTTACAATCAAATTGAAGCTAACGAGTCAAGAAAACTCTATTCACCAAACATTTCTACTCGAAATGGAAGTAAACTCAACAATTATGAAACAAGAAATTTCTCAAAACTTAATCACACAATGCGGGAGTCAAGGATAGTGGTCATAGGGCTCAATTCGATCAAAAAGGCTGGTGAAAATGCTTCTTAATCGAAAAACGACGTTGTGAATGTGGTTTAGTGCTGAGAAGTCCCCGGCACAGCCTCGACCTCGATTAATCTGTGTTGATCGTTCGTATCCTTCAGCGTAAGGGATATGGTAAGAGAATGAAAACATAAAAAATGCGCCAAGACAGGAAACGCAACTTCTTCTTAGACGAGAATGAGGTACCACGAGAAAGGAATTGTTCCATGATAGGGCGGGAGATAAATGCTACAACCGAAAATTGTTCATGAGGGTCGAGAGAATTTATCATCTGAACGACTTTGACGGCACTGCCGATAATGCAGATTGGATTGTCGTCAAAACGATATGAAAAGGCCCTATCAGAGGTGCGATACTAGAATAGTGCAGGGTGACGAATAAAATAGGTTCCTGCAATGACATTAAAACGAAGTGGAAAATGCTTAAACGAGAATAAATTAAGTCTAAAGGAAAGCAACTTCAAGATACCATTGAAAAGCTAATTTGTGTCAGATCTGGCAGGATTCAAGAGCAGGTCTTTCTTAATTCTTCCCTATCCACTAGTACATAGTATGAAATTAGTTTGGATAGTTAAGTCACCTGAAGCGGAAATCCAGGATGGCTGACGTTGATGATGCCAGCAGCCATCTTATCTTGCATATACCGGATAAAGCCATCCGTCAGGATTTGCGCTTGCCGTAAAAGATCGGCGCTCTCAGAGAGCCTCCTTTGTCCTACAGGACAGGATCTGCTGGATGAGCCCGAATCGTCAGTCTCTATACCATCTCGAGCGAACAACTCTGCAGCTCCGCTGCCCCCAGGCTCCGATTTCTCCTCGTCGGCTTCTCCGGCAGCCAACGCGAGGCAAGCACAGCTGGCACCAGCTTGAGCCAACTTTCTCTGAACACCCTCAAGTTGAGCAGGTTCAAGGCGCATTCGCTGCACAATACGGAGAGGTCCTCCGGTCTGTACAAGCGAAGCCTGTGGGCTACCACCTCCGCCCGCGGCCAGAAGAGCCATGCAAGAGCGTAGCAATTCGTGATTGCCTTGTACATAATGCAGCGCGACTCGGGCTTCTGAGTTCTTAAGGCTCAATCTTCCCTGCCACACTAGCGGATAAGCCTGATGCAATGAGTATAGAAAAAATGGATTAGAAATATTAAAGAATCAAGACAAATAAAATAAGGATACAAAAATAATAGGTGCCCCACTAAGACTAAGATAAATAAAACCCAAGATATAGTCACTCAATAATAAAATGCTGTTTACAGCCCTAAGGATAAGTAATGAAAATGAATGGTTCACAAAATGCGAACACTGAGAAAATACGTGCAATAATTAAAATAATTAGTTTCAGCATTGCAAAGTAACTAACTTTTAAGAGAAAGTCCAACTTTATTAAGTTAAATAAAATCTCTTTAGAATCAACAATAGATTGTGAAAAGCTAAAAATCTAACGCTTTGTGCATACATTGAGTATTAGGTTTGTGCAAACACTGGAATGCACAATTTACTCTTGCATTTAGGGGTTCGTATGTGAACAAGTTCGTTGAGTGACTAATGGACAGAATAGCAATACAGGTTTGAATGCTCACTAACTCAATTTAGAAATGCAGGTTTACATTAAGTTGACTGGGTAAGGATCATCATGTTATAAAAATTAATAGGCACATTTTGGCTAATAATCTGAAATGGAAAGTCAAGTTCCAGAATGCGACATACATTTATAGATTTATCAAGTGTCCAATTAAATGTAAAAGCATGATCAATAGGATCAAGTCAAGATTAAATGTTTTGTATGCTTATAAAGCACACTAGACTAAATATAATATGCTAGACAAAATATTTTCAAAAAGTACTTCCAGATTAGTGTAGTCACAGCACTAATATCGATAAATTTGTCTAAAAAGTCCAACTAAGCCAGAAGAGTGTTTATTAACTCCAGTTTAGAATAAATACGTAAATGTTTAAATCATTAATTGAAGAGACATATAGATCCAAAAAAAATATATTCTATGTCGATTAAGTGGTAAAAAAGCAAAGATTTTTATTATAAATTAATTCAATTTACATAAATTGAGTCAGCCTCTTAATATTTCTATCTACGATAGAGACAAGTCTCCATAAGAAAGTTAGAAGATGCATAAATTACATACCTAGTGACTAGTTTATATAGATAAAGAGAAAATGAAGAGAAAAGGAAAAACTAACTGGAAAGAAAAGGTCCCATTGCGTAGGATAGGGTCCCAAGTTTTGCGGAGCTGTACAAGCGGGCTCAGAGCTGATAGACACTTTGGAGAGTTGATTATTGCTATTGCCAGAAGTTGGTTTCAAGGAAGCGGTTGCATCGTTATCACCAACAAAACCCCCGCAGGTGTCAGAGAGGGACACGGGCAAACGGCAAGTAGATGCGATCTCAGTCCTGGGTCCATCAGTACTTGAAACCCCGGAACCGCTGGAAGCGACTAAGGTGGCAGTCGCTGTTGCCACAGCTGAAGCTGAATTCGCAGAGTTAGCATTGACACTTAACCCGAGCAAAGGAGAAGGTCGATGGGCGGACAAGTTAGGTGTCTGAGCTCGAGAAGAGCACCCACCAATCACACCAATACTGCCACTTGGTCCAGAACTGGCACCGGAGGCCAAGAAAGGTGAAATAACAAGGGAGGAATCTAGATCCCCTGATAAGCTCGAGATGACCGGAGGTATAATACAAGTGGAGCAGGCGGGTATCTGAGAGATAGACGGAATCGGAGGAGTGATCGTTTTCGGTGACTGGACACTTGATGGCCTAGATTCTGTCGAATTATGCAGAAGACTAGATTGGTTAGTAAGAAGAGTAGGCGCTTGAGAACAGGTGGATACGACGGACAAAGGGGACGGTTGACTAGAACACTGTCTATTAGGCGCTACAACGCGCGCGACGGCAGCTGCAGCTGCCGCTGCTGCTGCAGCAACCGCGGCTGCTGGGGAATTGCCAGGTCCGGAAAGTTGTTGAGAGAGCCTAAACAA